TGATGATTCCCCCAACTGTAATAACACTGAAGTTGTGCAAAACTTGAAACTATTTACATGTACTTCTAAATAGTGCTAGCGTTACAATTAAAAAATAATAGCAGAACTTAATTTAGCAGCATTTAGTCATTAGAGTACAAACACTAAAAGCGTGCAACACTTTGCACTATATTTACTACAAAATAGTGCTAATTAAACGACTTGGCAATAGTTTAGCCGTATTTAGTGGTATTTATGTTGCACAGTTTTAGTGTTTGTTAGAGTGATCGCACTTAAACCGTGCGACTTTATAAAATAAGTAAGCTTAGTGCTATTTAGTTGTGTTTTGTAAATCGTGCATGCGGTACGCAAATTTGAAGTTGTAATCAATGCAATGTCTTCCATCAGAGTGTCGTATGACAAACCAGGTCAGAATAAAAACATGGCGGTACAACGAACTGAACGAAAACACAATCACATAAACTGAAACTTACCTTGATTTGCTGCAACATTTTTTGAAACTATTTTCTGCCGAGTTGAAGACCTTTGATCACCTTCCAGTCTCTAACAAATCAGAATAGAAGCGCCACAGATTTACTTTCTAAGCAATGACTCGTGCCCAGTCGTTTCGCTTTATTTTTCGATGCGCTCGAAGGCGTTGATGGGAAGAGAGATGACCGAGGTTGAATAGTTTGCACAGGCAGCCCACATATCCGGGAGAATACATTTCGGTAAAATCATGGAAATTTAGAAATGTGGCTTTCATATTTTAATTTAGAATGCAGGAGTTTGTAAATGAATATATTGATGCCTGCAAAGTTATATCTCGGGGGTACTCGCCCCAAACTTGGSTGGGGGTGTGCCGCTGGGACATCAAAACCCTGATCCTGTTCCAGAGCGAAATCGCTGAAAACTATACCCTGTTCCAGAGTAAAATCGCTGAAAACTATACCCTGTTCCAGAGTAAAATCGTTGAAAAGTATACCCTGTTCCAGAGTAAAATCGCTGAAAACGATATCCTGTTCCAGAGTAAAATCGCTGAAAATGATTCCTGTTACAGAGTAAAATCGCTGAAAATGATATCCTGTTCCAGAGAAAATCCAGCACTAACAGATGGCACTAACCTGCTAGACCAAATTTTTACCCCTTTAATTTTTTAACCAGTATCAATAATTCCGGACGCTGACCCCGTTCCACAGAAAATTCGTTGAAATTGATACCCTTTTCCAGAGTGGTAAAATCGCTAAAAACTATACCCAGTTCCAGAGTAAAATCGCTGAAAACGATACCCTGGTTGGCGGCAAATCCCCGTATAGCAAATATAGGGGAGTACCCCCTCCCCCTTCGGGAAATAAACTCGTCATATCTTCACATATTTTCTTTGATTCTGGTTGAGTTTTATTCAACTAACAATTGATCTCTTCTGCTACTTACAAGGTTCTYTGMTATYACTTATTATATTTCGTTATTTTAATTGCTATTTCATGGTCAAAGTTATTTCTATCACGTCATCAGTCTACGTCACTACGGAGACACATGAGATTTTAAAGTCCTATATACGCCGGTTTATAAGTTTAGCGAGCTCAGAGAGGTATCATTCGTATGAACCAAAAAAGAATGCATCGTGTTAGCATTATAGCTAGTAGTTGATATTTATTGWCTTCTGATACAGTACAGTAGTATCCAAAAGCACTTTTCTTTTCTGAAATAACTGCTAATTCGATGATTGATCTCAATACGAGCTGACAATTTCAGAAATAGCTTGGTCTTTTTACTTGGTCTACCAAAATGGAGCGCAAATCCAGCGCAGTCCCAAACCCTTTTTATCCGACTCCGTTTAACTGTTGCGTTAGGTGTAGGTGAATGTCTACTATCGGTAGGTATTTCAATATATATAATAATCACAAAGAGTTTTGTATCTAACACTTTTCCAATCAATATGATAGTTGAGCAAATATTGGTTGAATCACACGATTCGTAACGACTCTCAACACGGGAACTAGGTTTTTGCTCAAGAGAGTCAAAAAAATTAAAATACTTCTCTCAAGTGTGAATTCGCAGATTTTATGATGTYCTTTCCTTCCCAATTTCTTTTTACAGTAAGAATACTCAAATGGATTTCCCAGTTTGATTTTGTTAAAATGTCTTTTCACAGTACATGCACGCATTAAAGGGTATTAAAAGGGCTACTCTCCAGCATGTGTTTTTAAGTGATATGTTAAGGAATTCTTATGTACAAATTTCTTTTTGCAGTAAGAACATTCAAAAGGTTTCTCTCCAGTATGAGTCTTTAAATGAATTATCATATCTTGATTCCGCGTAAATTTCTTCTTGCAGTAAGAACATTCAAAAGGTTTCTCTCCAGTATGAGTCCGTGAATGAATTATCATAT